CCACCGAGCACAGGTAGCACCGCGATTTATCAAGCGATGAGGACTAAGGATGGGCTGGTTTGGGAGGAGCTGGTGAGCACCCATCGCCTGCGGGACCCTTTGCTGGTCTGCTCTGGGCATCCAATACTCTCCTGCTGGCCACCAAAGCCAGGGGACTGAAGTTAGGCTGGGTTCTCAGTTTTGGGCACCTAAATTAGACAAGCTGGTACCCTTAAGCTGCCAGGGTAGCACCCCCTGCCCCAGCACCCTGCCGAGGCTCTGTGCACCATTCCGGGGCAGCTGGATCCGGCCACCAGCACTCTCGCCCTCCCCGTTCCACCCAGTCATCACGATGCTGCCCAAGAACGAAGCAGCCTCGTCAGAGGCACAAGGGTGGGGAAAAAAAATATTGGACTCCGTCTGCAGTTATGCAAGACTTCGGCTTTCCCCCCACTCCATTTGTATTTTTTGACCCCATTTCTATTCAACTCTTCTACATTCACCTGACTAAACCTAAATGGCATTTTCCTATATTCTGGATTTCAAAACGAAAATTACTCACTGGCTTTAACAAATCCTTTGTGGCTATACCAAGCTCTGTTTTCCTTACCACATTTTCTTTTTCCCTTCTTCATGCACACTCTCGGGTGTGCTACTGCAAGGTGGCTCATTGGGATGAGGGCTGGGCAGTTGGAAGGGGTTGGGGTTCGGCAGAAAAAGGGTTAAAGTATCAGGTGGGTGGTTGCTTGGTTGTTTTTAAGCACCCACAAAGAAGTTACAAGGAATTAGCAAACACACTGTGCAGTTGCCCAAGAAAAGGAGGGCTCAGCTGTGGCTCCGTTAGGAGCAAGCGTGGTTTTTACGGGGGGCAGGTAATGGGGCTCTATTCAGCAGTCAGAGGATCTGCTGCCCCACCGCCTGCTGGCAACGTTCTGGTGAGAACGCGTTGGAGGAGGAGGAGTTGTACTGAATGTTTCCACCCTCCAGTTCTCCTGCCTCCAATTCATTCACTGGCTTCATTATAACCCCCCAAAAATCGCATTTCTGCGTCCTTCAGCTTGCTGGAGCACTGGACACCCTGTCCTGCCCCGCACCGAGCCAAACAGCAAGCCACCCAAAAAATCAAGAGCAAGGTCCCTGCACCCACATCTGGCAGGAAAAGGCTGCCCACAGCACTGCTGCCAGTGGAGGGAATGGCTGGGGGCTGCTCTTTGCCTTTTATTGATTTTTTGACTGCCAAATGGAGCCTTGGTTAACGCGCTACCCGAGCTGCAGACTCCTTATTTAATACCTATTTCTTAACAAGTGGCTTAGGAACGCAGGGCGAGCCCGAAGCCAAAGATCTTGGGTCAGATGTGAAAAAACCAAAATGATCTCTCTACAGGAATAATTTGGCACCCCAATTTTCCGATGGCTTCGTAAAAGGCACCCCAGTACTGCTCTCCCTGCTGAGGGGGTCTCATTTTTGTTTTAAGGTGAGCTGCTAACATCTGAATTTGCTCAAGAAAGCACGACCAGCACAGCCCCAGTCTGAACCCAAAATATTTCTTTGCAAAATTGACATCAAATGGCTAAAGGAGACGTGACCCATCTGCTACGCAGATCTAGCAGGGGCATTGCTATCCAACACCACGAATAAAAGCAGCAGCAATTCAAAAAGAAGCAGGTCCTTATCTCCAGTTTACTATAGAAAATAAAAATAGATATTGGAAACAGCTGCTCTGGCAATTTTCCCTTAACTCAACGTACAGCAAATCCGACCCAAGCCAATTAGTGGGGGTGGAAACGAGGATGGGGAGCCAGGGGTTTTAGCAGGACACCTGGTCCCTCTGCCCATGGTGCTCATCAGGTGTTTCTATGTTATTACTTTATGTTAATTTTATAGAAAACCCAGAATATGTTGTTATTTTAAACAGATAACTTCCTATTGAAATTTGTTTTCTGTATTAAGCAGCAAAGAAGGGACAGCTCACAAGATGCTGGTGGTGGCTGACGGAGGGATCTGCATTTAAGGGGCCGCGGCAGGAGAGGAAGGGGGGAGCGGGGGCCGTGCGGTACTTACGATGCCGTCCCTGTCTGGCGACCCCCTGCAAAGAACAGAAAGAAACGCAGCCGTGTTAGCTCCCGAACGGCACCATCGCCCGATTCACTTGTGGAATGGTTTTCTTAATGAATCTGCAGCAGCAATGGTTCTAATTATGAAATTGTCAGCAAATCTGAATTACTCGCCATGCAGCCCCAGTGAAACCCACACGAGGGTCTCAGTGCCATTGCTCTCTGTTATCAGACAAGTTTTGTATTTATCAGTAAATCAAGTGCTCCTGTCGCTGCTGGCACTCTGCTGGCTGTGGAGCTGGGCTGGCTCCTCCTCGCACCCATCCCATGGCCACAGCCCTGTCCTGGGTGTGCATCACAGAATCCAAGAACATTAGGGGTTGGCAGGGCCCTCTGTGGGTCACCCAGCCCAACCCCCTGCCCAAGCAGGGTCACCCAGAGCAGGCTGCACAGCACCGCGTC